GCAGTACAAGTTGGAACACATGCATCTCAGATGATTCAGAGATTTCCTGTTTTCTAGCTCTTTGTATATCCTTAAGCTCTATTGTCCTCCTTCCCTGCTGTTGGAAGTCTTGCTGGGTAGATGGGAAGATAACTGCACAAAAATCTGCAAAGAGCAGGACAAAAAAATATAGTGTAGAAGTCTTCCTTCCCCATTTTTTACTTTCACCATCTTCCGACTGATGTCCCTAAAATAGACAAAATTCCACTGTATATGTGAAACCTCATTGCCAGGAACTAGGCATTAGTTTTGCAACACTGAACTTTCTTGCAAAATATTCTGTGTTTCTTGGTCTAGCCTTGACGTTATCTCCAAAAATGCTCTCTCACATATCTCAGTGTTTCTGGCAGAGTGGAGCCTGGACAAGCAGCCATGAATAGGAGAACCTTCACAAGAGAGCAAAGCCACCTTTTCCTCACGTGAAGCCATTGACAGACCATTAATTTGCAAGAGTATTTTGATGATTTACTGCAGCAGTCTGAGAACTTCCAGCTGATGCAATAGAGAATATTTACGCAATTTCAGGCCACTGATGCAGAGGGAATATGCTGTGGAGGGGGATGCTGTATTGCAAAATGCAGATGGAGAAAGATGGAAAGTCAGCAAGAGGGTGGGGACATTACAGGAGCAAGTTCTGCTCGTGAGTTCCTTCTGTGCAGTAGGTTTTGCTCTGAGAAGGCTGCTGAGCTTATGGTGGAACATGGGATCTAATGACTAATCCTGAATTTTCCCATACATAAATAGAAATTTGATTTTGTTTGCACAAAAAATACATTTTCCGGTGCATGTGGATGGGGAGACATCTGGAGAAAAGTGTAGGTGAGTCCCTTTATATGTGTGGGTCCTGCTCCCACCTTCTCTGTACAGGAATTCATGCTGTTGCTGTGGTCTGGTCCAACTCTAAGAAAGGCAAGGTTTGGAGGAGAGGTGAGTCTGCATTTCCATACTCCTCATTCAACACGGGTCTCCTTAGGTCACCATAGCAAATGGGAAGCCTGGTTTGCATGTAGCAAGCCCATGATGGGTGATTTCAGAGCCATCAGTGTGACTGTCTTCACTCCACTAAAGAGATGGGAGCTTTGCACGTCAAAGTAAGGTAGCACTTCACCTTACCAAGATGTGCTGGGTTGTTTGATGAAGAGTGAGTAGTTTGGAAGTAAGGAAGAGAGTCGGGGGGGTTTGAAACTTTCTTTGGTGGTTCTGCTTTTACAGGTGATTGCCTTTGGTGGTAATCCGTTCTGCTGTAGGAAGTTGCACTGTGTCCCTGCTGACAGGAAGCTAGCCAATGTTATTCCAATCTACAAAAAGGGCATGAGGGAAGACCCAAGGAACTACAGACCTGTTAGTCTAACCTCAGTTCCTGCAAAAATTATGGAGAAGATTATACTGAGTACTATTGAAAGGCATTTAAATAATAATAATGCAATCATCAGGCACAGTCAACATGGGTTCACAAAGGGAAAGTCCTGTTTAACTAATGTGATATCCTTCTATGGTAAGGTCACCCACTCAGTGGACGAAGAGAAGGTGGTGGATGTAGTGTTTCTGGATTTTAGTAAGGCCTTTGATACTGTCCCTCACAGCATCCTTCTGGACAAGCTGTCCAGCTGTGGGATGAGTGTGTTCACAGGGTGGTGGGTGAAGAACTATCTGGACAGCAGGACTCAGAGGCTTGTAGTGAATGGGGCTACACCTGGCTGGTGACCGGTCACCACCAGTGTTCCTCAGGGTTCAATTCTAGGGACAGTGCTGTTTCATATATTCAGCAACAATCTGGATGCAGGCATTAAATGCACCATTAGCAAGTTTGCTGATGACACCAAACTGGGAGGTGCTTTGACTCTCTTGAGGGACAAGAAGCCTTGCAGAGGGATCTAGACAGTTTGGAGCGTTGGTCAATGATTAATGGGATAAAATTTAGAAAGAACAAATGCTGGATTCTGCACCTAGGACAGAGTAATGCTGGGCACAAGTCTAAACTGGGAAGAGTAGCTGGAGAGCAGCCCTGCAACAAGGGATCTGCGGGTGCTGGTGGGCAACAAGGTCAACAGGAGTCAGCAGTGTGCCCTGGCACCAAGGGGGCAGACCACATCCTGGGGTGTATCAAACACAGTAGAACCAGCCAGTCAAGAGAGGGGATCGTCCTGCTGTGTTCAGTGTTGGTGCAGCCTCACTTGGACTACTGTGTGCAGTGATGGGCCCCACCATTTGAGAAAGATGTGAAAGTCCTTGAGTGTGTCCAGAGGAGGGAAACAAAGCTGGTGGCAGGGCTGGAATGATTGTCCTATGGGGAGTGGCTAAGGACTTTGGGCTTGTCTCTTTTGGAGAAAAGGAGGCCGAGGAGGGACCTCATTGCTGTCTGCAGCTTCCTGAGGAGAAGACGTGGAGAGGTGCTGATCTCTTCTCTCTGGGATTCTGTGATAGGATGCATGGAAATGGTTCAGAGATGTACTAGAGGAGGTTTAGACTGGACATCAGAAAGCATTTCTTTACCAAGAGGGTGGTCAAACACTGGAACAGGGTTCCTAGAGAGGTGGTCGATGCCCCAAGCCTGTCAGTGTTTGAGAGGCATTTGGACAATGCCCTTAATAACAAGCTTTAACTTTTGGTCAGCCCTGAAGTGGTCAGGCCATTGGATGATCATTGTAGGTCCCTTCTAGCTGAAAGAGTTCTATTAAAAAAGTAGAGTTCTATTATAAAAGTATTCTATTCTATTCTATTCTATTCTATTCTATTCTATTCTATTCTATTCTATTCTATTCTATTCTATTCTATTCTATTCTATTCTATTCTATTCTATTCTATTATATTATATTATATTATATTATATTATATTATATTATATTATATTATATTATATTATATTCTTCTAGTCTATTCCATTCTATTCCTTTCCATTCCATTCTATTCCTTTCCATTCCATTCTATTCTATTCATTCGACCACTGACAGTGCAGGCAATTACTTTTCTCATCATAAGGACAGTAAGCTCTGGGACAGACTTCTGGAAATCCTGTAGACAAAAGAAGATAAAATGGATCACAAAAGGGTTGTGAGGGTTCAGTGAGTTTGTGAGAGCAAAGGGTGACATCTGAGAGGTGTCCTCTTCCTGTAGGGCCAGAGATGCCAGTAACTGGCAAGACAGGAAGATACAAGATGTGTGAAAGTCCTGGCTCATTGGAACCTAACAGCTAATAGTTTTGTTTGCCCAACCCTGTGTCTGGGAGGCTACTGAATAAATAATACAAGTCCATTCTGGGGCACAGGGGATTGAATCCATAGTTTCTTAATCTACTGTGGAGTTCAGGAGGCACAAACTCAATGAACTGAAGGAATATGCTCTTTGCAGTTTCTGTCCCTTATGCATAGCTGTGAAAAGTGGGAGGACTGGAAATAAAAAGGGAGAGGTAAAGTTTTCACCCAGTCTGATGTATATTATCTCCATCAACAGACATAAGTAGAGTGGTGTAATAAGAAAGTGAATGTATTATCAAGCTGGAATCTGCAGACCAAAATCCACAGAATGCTGTTTGCTAATCCAAAAGCTTGGGTAACCACAGCAGTGCTGCAAGGTTCCTGCAGAAAAAGCCCAGAATCTTTGCCAGTGGCCTTCACACACCTTAGCTTTGGGAGGGCTTAGATTGATTGGCTGGGCCACCTTAGGTGTCCCTCCACTGCTCTGAACCTCATGAAGGCATTAGCATCTGTGCAAATTAATCTTCTATCAAAATGGAGGGTTTCCTCCATCTGTCTTTTGGAAATGACCTTGCAATGTTGTACCATGAACAAACTCCTCTTTAAGGCGATGCCTTCAATTCACGATAGGCATTCATCTGGGTCCAAATGGCAGACACTGGATGCATATTTTATGGAGAATGTTGCGACGGTTTCTTTGACTTAAATTTGGGATTGCAAATGGAGTAGCTCTTATTTGACTTGCAACACCAAAGAAAGGTCTTTCGGCACTTGCTGATGTGCTAAAGTGTCTCTGTTCTTTGGTTTCATCTTTGCAAACTCCTGGGAACAAGAATAATTTTCAGACCTTGTATCTGTTAAGGCACAGTGACAGCAAGAAGATAGCACCTGCATAGTCAGGCAATAATCTTCTAATGATAAGAACTGTTGGATTGATGGTGCCTTCTAGCACTCCAGAGTGGATTGGTATGCCTGTATAGCTCCCTTGATCTTTTGTTTGGAGGAAGATGGAAATAATAGTAAAAAATAAGCAGTTAAAGAACAGTAGACTGCTCCAGATCTTGCAGCCAGTAGGTAACGGAGCAGAACCGGTTCTTTATTTACATCTTTGGAGTAGGTTTGGTCCTGGTCTTAGTATCTGTAAAGGCAGGACAGCAGGTTAACCCCCTCAGTAGAGTCTGACAGGAGGTGCTACCTGAAAATCCTGTTGTGCTTCAAATGAAAGTCAATAAAGCATTATCCTCAGGCTCCACAGAGGCAAAGGGATTACATTCCTTTCTGCAGAAGTAGCCAGTGCCACTTATTGTTATGGGGAAAGGTGTTTTGGTAGGGGCCTGTCCATCTAGAAGGAATGTCAGAAATGTTGTTTGCTACTTGGTCTCATTTGGAACAGTTTGTGTACCGGGACTGGTTTTATTGACAGGTGATAAAAATTCGTTCCTGTCTATACTGATAAAACTCCTAAGAACAAGCCTGGGCGACTGTGGAGCACTTTCTGGCTGCCCAAGCCACCACAAGCCTCTCCTCAGTGCAGGTTCGGTCCTACACAGGCCAGAGCTTCTCCAGAGACACCAGGCCAGTTGTGACAAGACCCTGGTAGCCCTTTAGATGCCTTGCCTGGGGTCTGCTCCTCGCAGAGGGGCAGAGGGCTTCATTAATCAATTCCAAATAAGCCTGCTCAGAGCCCCAGGGAAATGGCCTAAAATTGAAGGCAAGGTGTGGGGTGCTGCAGCTTACGCTTTCCCGCCTGTGCTTCTCCCTGCTCAGCCTAGGCAGAGCTGTGACCTGGGGACTGAGCAGCCGTGCTGACCATGAGCGAGCAGAGTCATGTCAACAGCCTGTTCCTCAACGAGGACGCGGCCAAGCGGCTCAATGCTGAGAACCGGGTGCAGCGCTTCCGGCAGGCCGTGCAGAAGCGGGCCGCACGGGCCAAGAAGCGGATGCACAGCATCACTGCTGACAGCGCTAAAAGCTTCCTCAGGAGGAACGCCTTTGTCCTCTTCACCATTGCTGCAGTCTTACTAGGTATGGAGCTGGCGGCAACACTGGGCACCATTTATAAATGTGGGAAAATGTCTGTTTATTCTACAAAAAATTTATTTTAACATAATTTGTCTGTGGAGGTGAAGCTGATGAGCTGACAGCTCAAACTGCTGTACGTATCAGGAGTACCTTTGTGTGCAAGAACAACAGACCTTGCAGAGAGTGTGTGTGAGGGAGTCCTTGTTGATCCTTTCTGGCTGCAGCTTAGGAACAGTCTACAACAGAAGGGGTTTGATGATCCAGCTCTACCAATCCTCATAAAAAATCATCCAGACTTGTTCAGAGGCTTCTTGTGAGTGCAGCTACAGGCACAAGCACTCTTCAGATTCATCCCATGTCTTTAGCCTGACAGGACCAGGAGGGGGAACTGATGCAAGGGGCTGTGATAATAAATCTGCCCAGCAGATAGTGGATTGTCCTTAGCTTTCAATCCAGGCTATGTGTCTCTAACTCACTGGCTGAACTCAGCTTTAAGAGGTGGGTGGACAAAGTCTCTGAACCATGTAGTCACACTCAGGTTAGGTTGGGAGATCATATCTCTGGTCACAGCATTTTTGTGTTCATGACCTTCCTGGGAACAGACCCCAGAGGAGCAGCAGATAGCAAGGAGGAAAACCTGTGGTTTAGCACAAGGCTCCTGTGCATATAAGTATGTCAGAAGGAGAGAGAGAGCATACAGTAAAAACTGGATCATAGCCTTTTAGAAAAAGAAAGATAATTTGCTCCTTTGGGGAGAGGAGGAGCTGAAAGGAAGTAAGAAAGAGAAAAGCCATGCTATAAGACTGAGAGACAGATCACTGGATCACACTGTCCCATTTCCATTCTCATCCCTTGCTGATCCACAGGGATCATCCTGGCGTTTTCCCTCCGGCCATACCAGCTGACCTATCGCCAGATCAAGTATTTCTCCTTCCCTGGCGAGCTGCTGATGCGTATGCTCCAGATGTTGGTTCTTCCTCTCATTGTCTCTAGCTTGATTACAGGTGAGAAGTGCTTTCTGCTGTTTTCAGGCAAGGCAATAATCAGCAAATACATATGCTAGCTGTTGTTGGAGTACCCTTTTGTGCCGCAGCTGAAGGTGCTTGGATTAGCTTAGCTAATAGTGACAAGCCTGAACCTACAGCTGTAGTGAACGATTCACGCTCATAACCCTACTTAGTAGTGAGGAAGAGAAGCAGAAGGCCTTGTGCTTTCTCAGAAGACTGGGGAGGACACAATGTGCTGTCTCCAAGCCCAACACTTGAGCACTAACAAGGATTTCATCCTACGTAACCTCAAATGTCAACAAGTCTGTTGCCCAAGTCAGGGTCATGTTTCCTCCAGCCTAGGGAAGATTAATACATGTCAGTCCAAAAGAGCTGGAGTTGATCACTGGCTGGAGAGCTTGTTTCATTCAGGTCCTCATAGAAGACATGCCAGCCAGTCAAGCTTTCAGACAGCAGAAGGGACTGCAAGGCATTCCATCTGCTGAAACTTCCCATCATTAGGGGCTTAAAGGCCCAACATACTGGGAGGGGATTATTTCCCTTCTGAGAGCTTTAGTAATAAATTGCTGTATTCCCAAATGCAGCCTAAGACCCACCAGTGCTATGCTTCTTCATACCCACAAGCCACATTCTCCCATATCAACATCACCCTGGAGCTCCAAAGTCTGCCCCTTGTGTACTGTGCTTCCTAGACATCCCAGTTCCCCATCCAACTCACACGTGCCCTTCACACTTGGAATCTTCCTCGGGCTTCCCCCTTCCCTCTAAGACGACAGACCTTCTCACCTTGTCTTTCTGTGTGATTCCCCAGGAATGGCCTCACTGGACGGTAGAGCCTCAGGGAAGATGGGGATGCGGGCTGTTGTCTACTACATGGTGACTACGATCATAGCAGTCTTTATTGGCATACTCATGGTGATCATCATCCACCCAGGAAAAGGATCTAAGGACAAGCTTCACCGAGAAGGCAGAATTGAGCAGGTGCAGACCACAGATGCCTTCATGGACTTGGTGAGGTAGGTGAACAAGATGATCTCATGTTGATACCATATCAGTGAGATTACATTCCTCCATGGAATTCCCTTCTGAAGTGTCACAGCTTTAGGTATACACTCTCTTACGGAAAGAGGTCTATGGACGAGTCTTGCCTAGCCTACTACTTCTAGCTCAGTCTAGCTAACTGGCTTTCCCACTCTGAAATCAAATGCTGGGCCTGGAGCTCTGGAGTCCAGCCCTTCTGTTAGAGGTATTAATGCAAGAGGCCAAGGCGTGCTCAGCAAAACAAGTAATGAAAACTATCACTGACTGCATGCCCTTCAGAAATTCACCCAGCAAAGGCTACTCCAAACATCCATCTTCACTGACCCAAGGAAATGGAGGAAATGGTTCCTGAGATACTGTCTCTTCCTCCTTGCTGTGACCTTACACAGTGAATTGCAAAGCTGTACCATCTAAAGTGCTGTGAAGCTATGTTTTGGATGTACACAGTAACAGAGAGCTCAAATGGCAGCTGTAGAGATGAGGCTGAGAGCAAGGCAGTATATTAAAAATTGAAATATGGTGTTGTTTCAAGGTTCAGTTGGGTTTGATGATGCTTTTACAGTGGACCCATATTCCAGTGCTGTATGTGTGCAGTCTCTTTCCACATACCTGAAATACAACCTTATGGAGTCTGAAAAGATGCAGGAGGGTGTCTGGCTTCAGATCAGCATATTCCCATCTTCTGTCAGTCAGAAAGGGCACAGCTGGTCTATAGCCTGACCTGGTGTTGTAAGAGTTGTGACCTGACACACTGCTCTAGGACAGAGGCATTGGCCAGGAAGTCCGTGTTTTCTTGCTAGTCAAACAAAACAGTAACTCTAACCTTGTTTTATCTAACGCAGGAATATGTTCCCACCCAACCTGGTAGAAGCCTGCTTCAAACAGGTATGAAACCCCACCTGGTCTCTCACTTCCCTCTGTGCCTTGTGCCCTAGACCATGGTCCAACCTACTTCTCTGAGGGATGGAATAGCAATTGCTTTATACTGCCTTCACACTTCCCCAAGTCTGACTGCTCCAAGAGGCACTGCAGTAATTAGTCTGCATTATAGCATCCCCTATTCAAGCTTTTCAAGCTATCTGTAGATGAGGGTTCAACCTCTGCCCCATCCCATACTCAGAGTCAGAAAGGGATTGTGTGACCTCAGGTAGCAGGCTTGGACTGGCAGTGAAATTCTCCAGAATTTGTCTCTTCTGAAGTGCTAGTGCCCTTGGAAGCAGCATAAGGGGTTATCAGAGCAGCCACAATATCTTGGTCCTGGGGATATAAGATGCTCCAATGGTCTCTTCTGACCTTCAGCTCTATGAACTTTTTGATGAAAGCACTAAGCTAGCGAGCTTGAGAACAGGCAAGGCAAGTTTCCCACACAGATCAGCAGGAACTTGCAGTACTCTCCTTTCTTTGGGAAGGGATGCAAGAGCCTAGCATGTTGTCCTGAGCTCCTGAACCAGGGCCTGTGAGTGCATCTGATAATCTGTGTCTTTTCAGTACAAGACGCAGTACAGCACCAGGGTCTTCACCAGAACCATCTTCCACAGCAGCAATGTTACAGCAGTTGTGACAACCACTCAGATCCCTGTGCCTGAGAACTCCACTGGCATCCTGGAGAATGTCACTCATGCCCTGGGGACCATCTCCGAGGTGCTGACCTTTGAAGAAGTCATTCCCATCCCGGGCTCAGCCAATGGGGTGAACGCGCTGGGGCTGGTAGTGTTCTCCATGTGCTTCGGTTTGGTGATCGGCAGCATGAAGCAGAAGGGACGGGCCCTGCGGGAGTTCTTTAACTGCCTCAACGAAGCCATCATGAGGCTGGTGGCCATTATCATCTGGTGAGGAGCACGGCCGGTTGGAGCAGGAGGTCTGCAGGTGCAGTTTCCGCTGACCTGATGAGAAGTGGGGTAGCTTTAAGGATGACATGCACAGGAAAAGCAGATGGTCACAGCTCTTCTTTGGCTCCATCAGGCTGAAGGGAAAAGTCTGGATGGGATATTTGTTCACATTTCATTTCCTGTTTTTTGTTTTTACCTTAGAAATATCAGGTACACCAGGACTTGCTTCCCTTGAGGCTGCTGGAAACATCCTTGGAAGACCAGAGAGCTGGAGTGGAAGATCTCTTAGCCTTACCAACAGGGGTAGGGTGTGAGGCTTTCCCACCAAAAGCTTTCCTTCCAGCTATGTTCCAGGAGTCTGACAGCTATGAATCACTATAACATATTACCACTTTCCTGGTACCCAGGGTGGCACCTGTATGTGTTAGCTCTGAGAACTGAGATGGGTTGACAAGGTCAACTCAAAGGTACTGCCTTTCAAGGTCTTCCAGATCCTGGCTCCTCTAGAGCTCAGCTGCTCCTTGCTTTCTGTGTGAGGCTGCCTGTGCTACATGGTCCAGATAAGCAAGGCATTGCTGAGACGAGTCTTCTCTAGAAGACAGCATTTTACCAAATCTTATATATATATATATAAACCCACCTAGGGTTTGAGGTCTAAATAGCAGTTTGTGGTAGGTACTGTGAGACAGGAGAGATGTGGGGCTGGCAGAATACATGGCAATGTCTGACAGGGAAGGGATCTGCCAGTCCCACACACTCTCCCATTTTAGATCACTCCTGCTTCCTTTCTCTGTTCTTCTAGTCACAGTCTTGTATCTCAGAGCAACATCCTGAGCACAGGGGGACAGGCCGTACACAGAAAGACACAAAGGGGAAGAACAACCCTCAGCTCATAGCAGAGTGTTGGGGAGCCCCAGCCCCTCTGGGATCTTCTCCTCCATAGATGAGCCAGAACTTGGGGCCTTGCTTTCCTAAGAAGAGATAAGAGTTGCTCAAGAGCACAGAAGGGAAAGCACAAGCACAGTGGAACAAGTAGACCTGCACACTACTCACAGAGATAATGTCAAGGTGCCTTCAACACCCCCTCCTTCAGGTCCCCCTCACAGTGAAAGAAGGCAAGGTGTTGATGTGTATAACATCGGTTACGCTCAGGAAACTGCCTGTGCGCATACAGTAAGTAGTACCTGGAGAGACCTCCTGACTTACAAAATCCTGCTGGTGTAGGGAGCAGGACTGTCAGCTGCAGCCCAGAACTTCCTGAAGCCACAGTCTGCAGAGCATCTCCCAGGAGCTTGTTTTTCCTGGGGAGATCTGGTCACTAGCTGCACCCAAGGATGTCTTCTAAGAGGAAGGTCAGAGGAAATGAAATATCTGTGAAATCCTCTCCTGAAACTTTTCCAAGCCTCCCAGGCTAAGTTGGAGTTTGGCATGTGGGCCTCTGAGCCTTGTGCATGAATTGCATGTGAGCTCTTGATCTGTAGAGGCCCAGCCCTGAGAGGCGTGACCATGGAGCTGGGATTTTCTTTGGTCCAGTTATTTGTCCCTGTTTAGTTTAGTGTCCATGATACTTTCCATGTCTGTGTTATGGCTTCCGTTCTGTGGAGCCTCACTGCTGCTCATTAAATGTGTTGTTATAGAGGGGGAAAAAAGCCTTAAAGGATAGCAGTGTAGCTCAAAATGGATTTTTATGTAAGCCATGGCTGCTTTCACAGGTGTTGGTGTGCCCAGTCCTTGCTACACCATATATGAATTTCCTGTATGATCCTATTCTCTAAATGTGAATGTCTGAAGGTAGCAGGGCTGATATCCCAGAGCCTATAGGACACTATTGCTTTTAGTCCCCGATTCCCTCTTTCTCCTGTACTTGCCTGTGCCTCTCAGTAAAAAAAAATACCCTCAACCAAAGCTCTGCTAGGAAAGGAAGGGACCCTGAAGACTTCTCTACATAACCTCCCCTATCAATTCTACAAGAAGTGTTGTAGGAACATGTAGGGAACCGAGAAGGAGGAGGAAACCTCTACCAGTGCCCAAGCTGTAAGCACAACAGAGTGCTGGGGTCCCCAACAGTTCAACAAGAGCTGTTTCTTGACCATGTGATGAACAAGTTCCAGTTCTCTCCAGGTTTCCAGAAAAGAAACTAGCAGTATCATCCAACAGTTAGGCTCAGTGAGCACTTCTGGTGTGCTGGCTTACTGGGGATTTGTCCAGACAGCGTGCATTAAAGCTGCTGTGAAAATGTGGGTGCCAGATCTGAGCATCGGCCTTGTGTTTCTGCCACAGGTATGCTCCAGTTGGGATCATGTTTTTAATTGCTGGCAAAATCCTGGAGATGGATGACCTAGCAGTGATGGGAGGCCAGCTGGGGATGTACACACTCACTGTCATCGTTGGACTCCTCATTCATGCCCTCTGCATCCTGCCACTGCTTTACTTCATCGTCACTCACAGAAACCCCTGGGTATTCATTGCAGGGCTTCTGCAGGCCCTCATCACAGCCCTGGGCACCTCCTCAAGGTACGATGGCTACATAGGAGTAGGGTTGGGGCTGGTGTGGATACTCTGTGGCTGCTTCTCAGCACTCCATTGCCCTCAGTGCAGCACTGTGGTCTCACAATTTCCAGAACTAGCCACTTTTTACACTGGTCCAGCCAAGCTCACAGGAGAGTGGAAAGATTCCTACTCCCTTGCTTGGGAGCCCTAATCACATGGCCACCTCTAACCATCAATGCATGGCCCATATTCCTCCTTACCAAACACAGTGGTGACTCTGCTTGCAGCACTGAAATGCTTAGCTCAAGACAAATACCAAATCCTGCTGACCTGCAGCATTGTTCCACATGCATATACATCTCACATACATGTACTCGCACACATGCACATTTCTCTCTCCCAGGTACACATGCTGTATGCAGCTGGCATTAAACTAATCAGAGGCCTGGGCAAAGGCATAAACACCCGTATGTTCACTGACTCACACTGCTGTGCAGCACAGCCAAAGCAAGGGACTGTAGGTAGCTGTTGTTTCACTAAGTGCTGTTTCTTGCTATATTAATTTCCTGGCAAGCAAGTAACAGTCTCTCCCACATGCATTCTCACACTGACACAGACAGCATTTTTCCTGCTCATGTTCTCTTTTAGAAAGAATTCTCTGCTATCTCTGCAAGATATATTCTCACACATGGGTCATTCTTGTCTTATGCACTGAGGGGGGTGAGAAAGGGCTAATTTTTTTTTTAACAGCTGGAAAAGGAGTTTTGGTCTTGAGGCTCTGTCTTAGGTAACTTGAATCCTCCAGCATCACCTTCTTTTGGTGTTATACCAGCATCATCAGCCTCAGGGTTACACAGCCCTTGTCCCAGCCCCCTGAGGAAAGCCATGTCTGAATGTGCAACTGCAGCGTGCACCATATCTGAGGAAGCCTTGCTTAAACTGTTCTTTCTCCTAGCAGCTTCTGGCCTCTGGCTCACTTGGCAGGGTGAAAAAGCAGGTGGGTAAGGTCATCAACCAGGCAGAGGCTTAGTCCCTCTTCCAAAGTCAGCATATACCCAATTCATGTTGTTTTGTAAATTCCTTTCAGCTCAGCAACTCTGCCCATCACCTTCAGGTGCCTGGAAGAAAACAATGGTGTGGACAGACGCATCACGAGGTTTGTTCTGCCTGTGGGAGCTACAATTAACATGGATGGCACTGCTCTGTACGAGGCCCTTGCAGCCATCTTCATTGCACAAGTCAACAACTATGAACTTGACTTCGGGCAGATCATCACAATAAGGTGACTTTTGAAAGAGTTTTGGGACTACAGGAAGGGCTTCAGTTTTGTTGCATTATCTGACATGTGGTCAGATTCCTCTTTTGCTCAGAAGATTGTCATGGTTTGAGCCCAGAGGGCAACTGAGCACCATGCAGCTGCTCACTCACTCCTTCCAGCTCAGGAATGTGGAGGAGAAAATACAAAAGCCTTGGGGATTGAGATAAGGACAGGGAAGGATGACTCACCCATCACGGTCATAGACAAAACCCAAACTTGTTAGGGGAAGAAAAAGAACATCAATTTATTCTAAGCACTACAACCACCACTTAAATTTTCCAATCAGAGTAGGACAGTGAGAAATACAACCACATCTTAAAAATACCTTCCCACTCCGCTCCTTTCTTCCTGGGCTCAGCTTTGCTCCTGATTTCTGTCCCTCCTCCCCTCTGAGCGGTGAAGGGGGCAGGGGATGTGGATTGTGGTCAGTTCATCACCCGTTGTTTCTGCTGCTCCCTCCTCCTCAGGGGGAGGACTCCTCACACTCTTCCCCTGCTCCAGCGTGGGGTCCCTCTCATGGGAGACTGTCCTCCACAAGCTTTCTCCATCATGAGTCCTTCCCACGGGCTGCCGCTCTTCACAAACTGCTCCAGTGGGAGTCCCTCCCACGGGCTGCAGCCTCCCCAGCATCAGACTGCTCCAGCACGGGCTGCCCTCAGCGTCCCAGCCTCCTTTGGGTGCAGATACCTGCTCCGGTGCGGGGTCCTCCCCGGGCTGCAGGTGGGCGTCTGTTCCACCCGTGACCTCCCTGGGAGCAGGGGCACAGCCTGCCCTCTCCCCAGGGGCTGCAGAGGGGTCTGTGCTCTGGTGCATCTCCTCTCCCGCCTCCTCTTCCTTTCTTCCACTGACTTTGGTGTTTGCATGTGTGTCTCCCTCACAACTCCTCACCACCGCTCCTCCTCTCAGATTCCCCTTCTTAAATATGTTATCACAGAGGCACGAGCACCATTGCTCATTGGCTCAGCCTTGGCCAGAGGCAGGTCTGACTTGGAGCCAGGGGAGGTTTGAGAAGCTTCTCACAGGGGTCCACTGCTGTAGCCCCCTCACCCACTACCAAAACCCCATCCACACACAAACCCAACACACAATATAATGAGAAAAAAAAGGTATGGAAAAGAAGGGTGTACTACACCTCCAGGTGTAGAGGCACATATGATTCAGGCACCACGTCTCTGAGGCTCCACTTGAGCCCTTACTGCATTTCCAGGTCTGGGCCATCCCTTAGCTAGAGCTGCAGTGTGCAGTCTGTTATGGATGAGTGCCTGGTGGGGGGAGCCTGGCTGCTGTGTTGATGTCCCATGTGTCATCATCCTGCTCAATGACCAGGGCAGAAAGGCTGCCAAGGTGTTTTGGAGATGATGAGTTTGAGCTAATTCCTGACATTTTTGAAAATGCAACTACCTGTTTTCTTCCCTTTACTGATAGTTGTGCTTTCCTGTTCCCTCCAGCATCACTGCCACAGCAGCCAGCATTGGAGCTGCAGGTATTCCCCAGGCAGGACTGGTGACAATGGTTATAGTGTTGACATCAGTGGGGCTGCCTACTGAAGACATTACGCTGATCATTGCAGTGGACTGGTTTCTGTAAGTTCTCTGCTCAGCAGCATGCACTGCTGTGTGCTCCCTGCCGTTGCTTACAGAGTTCATTTCTATCCCAATGTCTCTGCTAAAAGCAGTTTCAGTAACCTGTTTTTAAGCTTAAAACACACCTGTATCCATGAGACCTTTGCACAGTAGCCTTCTCTGCACATTCTGGAGTCTTTACCATGTGCTTCAGTGACCCAAGGCATCAGAGTTCACCTACAAATCAGCCTGACCACCAAGCAGAATGTTTGCTTTACCTAAAAAGGCACCCAGAAACTATCTCCAGACTGATAGGAACAGGTTGTGCCAGTAATAAGCAAATTCACACTGCAGAGTGATGGTTCTGCGGTATCAAAAATGGGAAGTGGATTGAGACTGGGCTGTACAAATCTGAGTGTTTAATGGGGGCAGTTAGTCAGCTGCATTGCTCCATTTCAGCCTTCTTTCCCTTTTAAACCTTGGAACAAGTGATTTCACAGGAGTGCTCTTAGGAATTAGATTGAAGAATGCATTTGTGCACAGTCCTCACTCTCAGTCTTCTCAAACACAACAAAATCCTGACTCAGGGACACACTGTCAGTGTTTCCTCTGTTCTTCTGTATCTTGTATTGCTGCTTTGTAGCCAAAGCAGCCAAAGTCTGCTCCCAGCCACGGCGGAGCAGTTGGAAGCAGAGTCTTGCCCAGCATCTCCACTTCTCCTGTGAACTGTGCATAAGAACAGACTTGGCTGGAAAAAGCCCTGCCTTCTAAGACGCCAGGTTACCTCTTGTACTTACCCAGAAAGGTTGGTTTCAATCAGGTACCAGAAGTCTTATCTGTTGTTACTGCTGAAGGATACGATGGGTTGCTGGACTGGTGATAGCTTCAGCTCTTACATACAGTTGTGGTTGTGGAAAATATCTCATTGCAAAAGGTGTTTTAGTTCTGCTATTTTGCACAAAGAATCTGGTACCTTGTATTAGTGTCTACTGTCTATGCTGAGGAAATCTGGCTCCACGGTAGCACTAAGTCAAGTTTACACCAGAATTTCTGCACTTTTTGTAAAACAAAATGCGACTTAAGTGTAACAGATGTGGTGAGGCTTGTCTGAGTCTGCTGAAAGGCCTTAGCAGCTCTTTGGAAAGGAAAGTGTCCATGTAGAACCACAGTAATGTTTCTCTTGTTTTGTGGCCAGTCCAAAACTTTCCAGTAAGCAGCTGGGAATGCAACAGAGCAGGAATGAGCGTGAGGCCTGTGCTCAGGGTTATCAATCATGGAAGGCTCTCCGGGAGTCATTTTCCTGCCAGTGTTGAAGTGTCAATTATGAGTGACTTGAAAAGTAGAAAAAGTTACATTGAAAATGTTTCTTGAAATAGTCTTCATCCCATTAGCTGTTACTAAGAAGCTGTATTTCATTTGTCTCTGATTTTTCAGGGACCGCCTTAGAACAACTACCAACGTCCTGGGGGATTCTCTAGGGGCTGGCATTGTGGAGCATCTCTCCCGGCATGAGCTGGATGCGCAGGACTGCGAACTTGGTAATTCACTGATAGAGCAGCTCTCCCACCTGGTTTGCCCACAGAACAACACCCACAGGCACCCCAGGAATGAGACAGCACTGTGAAATTGGGCAGCAGAGTGCAGATTAATGCTGTAAAAAGCCAAGACCTGAAACAGAAGTCCATAGTGGAGGACAGAGAAAAATCCACTCTCCGAGATGCACACTTTTCTCCCCACTCTGCCACATACAGTCTTCCCTGACCTCGTTTCCCCCCCCACCTCTTTCTGGCAGGCATTAAAGAGGAGAAAATTAAACTGCAAAGAAAGTTTCATTCCACAAAAGCCTGATTTAATCATTCTTATGAGGTCCAAGAATTAGACCTGAGTAAAGAAGACTCAGTGAATGAGCTGGCCTAGGAGCTCCTTAGTTTCTGAGCTGAAGTATGAGCACAGCTAAGTGGCAAGGTAGGTCAGGGACACCACCACTTGTGGACTGGCACTAAAATGTTGCCACGATGACTCTGCCCTGCAAGATACAGCTGCAAAGCCTTCACTTGGTCAGTGGCTTCCTATAAGCACATAAAGATTTAGTTCTGGCCATTTGGAGATCTCTGGAGAGACACAGCACTCCTGTTCAGCTCTTCACTGGCAAGAGTGTTTATGATAAACTCAGTCTCCTCCTTGCTCGCAGTTCTGGTGTTTGCACAGACATGCAGATGATGCTTCCTGAGAGCTCCTCACTCCTCTGGCAACCCTTCTGGCTGCAGATACTAGAGTCACCCAGCTCCTGAAGGAATGTGGGACCATACAGCAGAGACAGGACTTGCTGTTCTGGCTAGTAGCACAAATAGGGGTCAATAGGCTTTTCATTAGTAGAAGTTGCTAAAGGAGTGTGAAAGCAGTGAACAATTAAATAATTTATTATACCCATTATTCAGTCTCTGTAACAGATAACCCCTCTAACAAGCTCTGCCAAACACCAGTTAACTTCATTTCTCTTTAGCAAGCTGTTCTCCTATTGAGGAAACCAGAAGGGGAAATGCAAAGTTTAAGAAGAGTTTGCCTACCCGAGCAGCTGGGTGGTACCTCTATCCCTGCCACCCCAGATTTGCTCAGAAGACACTTTCACTCCTCATCATAAGACTCCTAATGAAACTTTTCCTCTGCTCATCTTCAGCTGTTTTCAGAAGTGACTTCCCTTCAGTCACATTGCTCCAGAATGTGCTTCCAAGTATCTCTTTCTACAGCTCCTTACCTGTTATAGGCAGTACCCGATCACTTCTCAGCACTTGTACACGTTTACCAGACCCCAAACTTAGAAATTCAGGATAAATTTCTCAGTTCCTATCAAGTGGAGCCCAGCTTCTGTTTAACACACTTGGACATAAGCCCACATGACATCCGAAACACCTCAGAGGCTAAAGCAAGAAGTAGAGACCTGCTTCATGAATGCTCTATCCCCTGTCCCTGGCATGGCCAGGCACACGGCCTGTATCTCTCACTCCAGTGAGCAGGACCAGCAAGGCTTGCTCCATAATATCCAGGTCCATGAACATCCAGAATATGAATGTCTAAACACAACCAGGAATATGTAAAGGATCCACAGTTTTGGGGCTACTACAGTGTAGCTGTCCTGCTTTAGAAATGGCTAGGGTCAGAAACAGCAGCAAGCAGCCTCCAGTTGTACAGCCAGACTGTCTAAACTGGGCAGCTTTCATCTGAGGTCTGCTCATTATTCCAAACCCAGTATATCACTTAAACCCTTCTACCCTGACTTTCCACATTAATCCTTTTCATGCAGAAGCCCTAGCCGTACACTCAGAGGTGCACCTAAGTGGACCTCATGAAGGAAGACCTCAGAGGCATCAGCTGGAGTCAACTTTGCCAACCTCAACCACACAACTGCCCATGCTTAGCTCCCCAGCACTAACAAAGCTTCCTGAGGCACTTTTTGATCCTTCAGGAACTGTGGGATTATATATTGGTGCTGCCATATTCCACATCCTGTAGGTAGAGTATTCTGTTTTTATGGACTGGACAATTGTTGGAAATCCGAGCTAAATGAACAAATGCATCTCTTTTACATGGAAGTGGATAACAGAACAGGATAAATAGAAGTGTATTGTAGCTCCATTTAGCCAGACCCTATGGCAGGAGGCTGTTTCCTGACTGTGGGAGACAGGCTGCTTACTCTGAGAAGAGATCTGCTCTAGCAGGGCGCAAGTAAGCAGGTTAACAAATTATTATCCTCCTCTTTGCAGCATTTTTAAATCTTGTATGAATACTATTATAATGTCTGCTCTTCTCCTTTCTAGACTAAACAGACCCCGTATAACCTCACAGGTAATAATCATTCATGTTCCTCTCCTCTGGACTTTTTCTTCGCTGTTCCACATCTTTCTTAAAGTGGAGTAACTAAAATTTGACACAACAATCCGGCTAAAGATTTATTAATGCTGAGCACTAAGGAAAGAATATTTCATGTACATTAAGATTTAGATCTTAGACTCAAGTTACCATAGTTTAACAGCATGCTATGCATCAGCTGATCAGGATATCTGTCGTCCATGATGAATACATACAGCAAATTCAAGTCTGTTCATCTTCTCTCAAATCTTAGTGAGGTTAGACTCTTACTTTGATAAGATAGCTGTATCAAAAGACTGGATCTTAATCAAAGAGTTTTAAGATACACAGCATTAGCTTGTATCTATAGTGGGCTAAGACAGCACTAGCTTATCATTAACACAGCTCAACTGACATAAGTCTAAAGAATAGACCTGCTTATAAATCCCAATAAAGCACTTTATTTTTTCACAAAAGCATGAGAGCATTGACTCCACTCCAGTGGTAACACATGATAATTCCTACACCTTTTTAAGCAGAACTGCTGCCTACCTAGTAATTTCCCAGCCTGTGTTTGTGCAGTTGATTGTTGCTACTCAAGTACAGTAATTTATATTTGTCCATATTGAATTGCATCTTGGTTTTCTTTTTTTTTTTTTTTCAGACTATTTGTCAAACTTTTCAAGAAAGCATTGAATTCTAATCCTGAAGAGACTTCCTGTATATAAACAGCAAACTGATGGACAAATTAGAAGAAAAGATTGTTGGATTGGACTCCAGCTCAAATGGGAATTAATTTTGGGAAGTCCTATGGCTTGGGTTATACAGACAGTCAAACTAAATGACCATAAGGGTCCCTTCTGGCTTTATAATATATGCACATGCTTTCTGGTTTAGAGATATTTGCAAAGGGTCCTTCCGGTCCGATCATTTTTAAAAGCTATCTGGAAGGATCCTAATGATACTTTAATAAAACTCAGCAAGAGTCTAACATGTTTTCAGTTGCTGTTAGCAGACATGTAAACATATCACAAAAGGGGCTCTCCATACCACATTGCATCAACATGATCTCAGATGTTCCCACAAAGTAGCACACTCCAAGCCTTGCCATTTGTGATTTCCTGCTTTCAACACAAGATTAATGGACCACAAACAAAGAGAGGCCTCATTTTCAAATACTGCAAACCAGTCTCCCATGGGGAATTTCAGAATTCAGCTGATAGTTTTTAGCTCTGGTGTTTACCCATGTTGTTAACCAGTTTATGATTGGGATTATCTGTTTACAGTACCTGAACAGTAAAGTATTGTCAGGAATTTGAGCATATACATATATATATATATATATACACACCATTCTCTCTATATAAAGAGTCACGTGCACAGAGTTATTTTTTTTGTTGCTAACCCAAGAAGGAAAGGCAATACTAAACTTTCACTCTGTAAAGCTGCATACTTCATTTTGATTTACACAACTAACCCCATCCTTAAAACAACAGAGGCTATTTTACTTCATTCCGTTAATGAGTCTTCCAATGCAAGGTTTACCAGGAAGGAGCTCAATGCATTCTGATTTTGAGTTTTACCTACTGGTGACATAATAAGAACTTCTTAATATAGAGAGAAAATTCTCCATTTTGTCTTTGCCTTACCTGCACATACCCCAAGGGACCCACATCCCCACTGCATCTGACTTGGCAAGAAAGCAGGCTTTAAGAGCTCAGCCAAGAATACAAAAGTGTTTGTATCCCTTCCAAACCTAACACTGACCCTGTACTAACTCAGCCTTCAAAACTGGATAACTGAAAGTACTAAATCATTTTGTCAACTCTCTTTTTAAATTACCAGATATTGGGGAGTTTATGCAGTCTTTTCCTTACTGCAGTCCTGCTGCTTCTACTTGCAGAAACTTTTCAAGTTTCTCCTACTTGCAAACAGATTTATTCCTAATAATTAGATGGGCAACATTTGGGATGAAACAGAGCTATCTCAACGCATACATACATGAGGAGCTCTTGGATTAGGGCACATCTTCAAAATTAATTTTATGATAGGCTATGTGTCACATTACGTATGTGATATATGCACATTGTTTCAGGAGTCAGATCTGCCCATGAGAATTGCCCTGATATGTCCATTTTTTGCTGTGCCCAATGAAGAAAGAGATAACTGGATATCAGTGCTGTACAGTGTGTTCACAGCATTCTGGCAGTTTGACTATGTTAATTCCTGAAGGCTTTTTCTTCATGCCATGAGTTCCAGTGTTAATAAAGATAGTTTGCATATTTGAAAAATAAAGGGAATTTTTTCCACAGTGCTTTTCCCTGATGTTTTTTTCTATTATTTTTTCCTCAGGATCATGACCTTATAAAGTCAGGGACATTACTTTTAGCATTATGTATTACACTTCCTTATCTCCATGTGCCTATGTCACGAGCCAAATACTAAATTCAGATTTTTACAAGGCCTTTCCCTAAAGCTTTTCCTTTGATGCCATCTTTTGCATATGTCCATAAACTGGCACAGCTGCACAAGGCTTACTTCACATGCAGCACACAGCACACAAGCGCATACTTCCATCCAGGAAATCCACCCCAAACAAAGGTTATGTGGAAGAGGTCTCTGAGGCTTAAACAATAATGAGTTTACATTACCCATTGAAATGTTGCATTAGTATCATGGTATTTGAGCAAAGCGAAAGCTATTAATTCTTCTCCCCTTTATATCCCTTTTTCTTGTCTTCTGTTCCCTAAGGAACTGAGGTAAATAAAATGGCTGATGGGACAAGGGCGTCACCAGTCAGGGCCCAGTCCCACAGTACTCTAGACAGACAAGCAGCACAGATGTTGGAGAATGGCTCAGAGACAAGGGTCCTGAGCCCACTGAGCAGCTGTACGATCAGAGCCTGTCCTAGGGGCTGATGCTGAGCCTCACTAGGGTTTGCCTGCAGCTGCTCGCAGCTGCTGATACAGGAGGAATGTCAAGGACGCTTCGGCCTTGTGTACCGTGGTGTGTCAAAAACAGGAATTAGAAATAGTGGCATGAGAAACTTAGTGTTATGAGAAGCTTGTGCTGTAAGCTAACTGCAAGTAGGTGGACTGTGCGAATACGACCTTTAGAGGTTAAGCCAATCAGCTAGTGACTAGTAGGCATAATAATTATCATTGTCTGTATAAATATATGTACCCTGGACCAATAAACACACACACGTAGATTGATGCTCTATCCCCCACATTGAACCCGTCTCGGCGTGTCGTTCGTCCGCGGCTCCACACACAGACTCAGAGATAACGGCCAGGTCCAGCCAAGAGTCCAGACCATAAGACAGCAGCACAGTGACGAAGCTGGTGGGAGGTAGGGTGCGGTAGGTATGAGGTAGCCTCACCCAAGTGAGGGTGCCCAGGGCCACTAAGGCCTATTAGTGCACTTGGGGTGCATATGCAAGCAAGTCCAACCCTCCTGCCCTCCCAGCCATGCACTCTCCTGTGTGGTACAGGTAGTTTGGCTGAGGTATCACTGGAGATCATCTAATCAAATGCCTCTGCTCAAAGCAGGGTCAACTAGAACAGATTGCTCAGGATTTTGTCCAGTTGGATTTTGAACATCTCCAAGGATGTAGGGTTCCACAACCTCCTTGGGCAACCTGTTCCAGTGTTCAATCATCCCCACAGTGAAAACACTTTTATTTGTTTAAATGGAACTTCTTATATTTCAATTTGTGCCCATTGCCTCTTGTCCTTTCACCAGACACCACTGAGACATGTCTCGAGGCTCCCTTGAATCTCTAAATTTAATTTAATCTTTCAACAGGCTTGAAGAATGGCCTGACAGGTGTGGTGGTGCAATCCCTCCTCTCTTAGGCCACTCGGTGCTTAGTGCAATTTCCCCCCTCCTTGGCTCACATGCCAACCCAAGATAAATAGTGAAAGATAAGGAACCATAGCATAAAGGCATTCCCTTAACACTCCTGTCTCCTACTTCCCCTGTTGCTTGGGAACAGACCACAAGCCAACTCAAATGGCTTGGGAAAGGCAGTAGACCAGAGCATTAACGTGACCCTTTAGCCCACCTGGTTTCTGCCCCCCTCTCTTACCACTTAAAGAACAACAGGAACAATCAACACATCCTGACAGCCTGACAGTACATGTGTATTTGGGTTGTGGCCCAAAGGATGTGATACCAGAACTACTAGAATCTAGCAAGTTCTGGGCCTGCACAACTGGTAGAAAGTACCAGAATATTCCATCATCCAAGTTGGGCTGAAATGGAAAAGTACCTGACAAAAGTCAATTACCTCTGACCCTATAATTAGTGACCCTTTGAACTCTCCTGGATCGCAGCAGGCTTTGACCAGCATCTCCCCTGAGCTGGATGCCTCTCAGGCTCAGACTTCTCAAAGGTTGAAGATCATCTGCCCACAAAGCTGATGGAAGGCCAGGGTGAAGTCAGACTTCTTGCCCCGCAATTATTGCCCGTTGAGAAATACTGATGCATTGTGAGTATTTGCTCCAAACTCAAGAAGAGGGAAATTTTAACTAAGGCTAGCCTCTTCCACCCACCTCTTTATCTGTCTATGTGCTTGAATATGCTCATTTGCTTTCACGAGTGTGGATGTCTATATGTTTCACTGGATATCCAAATATTTCTTCACTGTTTATGTGTGTGTGTGCGCGTTTTGTGTTTATACATATAAACATAAATATATATATATACACTTTGATTCAGAATACTTTGCAGTAAGTTAGCATTAATCTTGTCATTCTTGAATGCGTAATCAAGATGCTATTTTAATCATATTTTACTGAATCACTATGCTAATCTCTAAATCTATCAACTCAATCTATTGAGTGTTGCTGAAATTCAACCTTTTGATCCACCTCACACCATTAATAAATCTTAAATTGCTATTAAATCATAGCCATGAGTCACTTTCATCTGCAACCACAGGACCCTCAAGAAGTTGAACAAGAAGAAATGCAAACTCCTGCACCTGGGGTGGAATAACTCCTTGCACCAGTACATGATGGGGGCTACCCATCTGGAAAGCAGCTTAGCAGAAAAGGACCTGGAGGTCCTGGTGGACACCAAGTTGAACATGAGCCAGCAATGTGCCCTTGCTGCAAAGAAGGGTAATGGGGGCTGCATTAAGAATGTTTCCAGCAGATCGAATGAGGTGATCCTTCCCCTCTGCTCGGCACTGGGGAGGCCACACCTGACATGCTGCGACCAGTTCTGGGCTCCCCAGTGCAAAAGAGTCAAGGACATACGGGAGAGTCCAAGGAAGGGCCGTGAAGACGATCACGGGACTGGAGCATCTCCCGTGAGGAGAGGCCGAGAGCTGGGGGATCTTACCGATGTATATAAATACCTGAAGAGAAGGTGTAAAGATAAAGCGAGGCTCATCTCCATTGTGCCATGACAGGACGAGAGGCAATGGGCACAAACACAGGAGGTTCCCTCTTAACACAAGAAAACACTTTTTTACGGGGAGGGTGACTGAGCACTGGGACGGGTTGCCCGGGAAGGCTGTGGGGGTCTCCACGCACGCAGATACTCAAAAGCCAACTGGAGGCAGTCCTGGTCTTGGCCCACTGAGGAAAAGGCTGAGGCGGTGGCCAAAGACATACCCACGAATCCGCCGGCGCAGGGCCCTTTCCCCCGCGGGAGCTGCTTTCATGTTCGCCTGCACGCCCCTTCCTTTCCCTCCCCGTCCCTCCACTCGCCCACCCGCGATGACCTGGCTTCCGCACACCCACCGCCCCCGGCTGACGCCAGGCCCGCGGTGCGGGCTCAGCCCAGCAGAGGGCGGGCTGCCGGCCGCCGCCTGCCCCTCCCGCGGTGCCGCTCGGCGGGGCCGGGCCGCGAACCCGCGGCCCCCGGGCTGGCTGAGACGTGCGCGCCGCCACGAGCCCCCCGGCGGGGGGGGGGGGCCGGCGCCTGCGCGTGCGGCGGGGCGGGGCGGGGCGGGGCGGGCGGAAGTGTCGTGGCGCCGCG